GTCTGTGGTGAGGCAGGAAAAGGAAGCAGCCTACAAACGACTTTGACCTCATTTTCCATAAGCCTAAGCGCTGGGGGTTTCTCAGCATTGAYACAGTGTCTTGGCAGGAGGTAAGGGGGACAAGGAAACTTCTTTCCCCGCCCCCAGCCAGAAGAAGTGGAGGRTGGGAGAGAACGAGGGGCTTCTGTGGGACCTCAAGGATGGGACCAGTGGCCTGCCTCCTGGCAGAGGCCCGGCAGCCAACCTGCCCCCAGAGAGAAATGACAGCCCTGCAGGAGGCTTCTGTCCCCTACATGCAGTGAGAAAGTGCCAGCCAGAAGCCTCACAGGATMAAGGGTGTGTCCAGCAGTATGGTTAGCCCAGGGCCACATGCATGCCCTTCCCAGAGATCCCRCCAAACCGCACTGGGCCCTGGCACCCGATAAACCTGCCTCAAGCTGCTGCACAGGCCCAGGGGAGGGGTGAAGGGGACAGAGAAAAACTGAGATGGAGTTTTCCACTTTCTCATGAAAGGAGCACTCAGATCCAGAAATTAGAGGAGAAAACGGAATGTACTTCTTTTACTGCTGAGTCGATGCACCGTAATGAATACCTGGCAAATGCAAATGACCCAAGGTCACCTAGTTAGTATGGAAAGGAGGCACAGCGGGGACCTGAACTAGGTTTGGGAGACTCCAAGTTCAGCACTGTCGACCTTAAAAATCAGGAACCTAAATGTCCATCAAGAGGGAATGATCATATATATGGGGAGTGGGGGAGGAGCAAGGGCAGGGAACAGAGAAAGAGAGAGAAAGAACCTCTGACCCAATGTAGGGAGATCTTTAAAATACACAAGATTAAAGCACCTGGTTACTTATTTGTTGCTTCTATCTGCTTTAGACACATCTGCCAGGATACAAGACACTGGTTCCCTGATAACCTCCTGGAGGAAATCAGGTCATGAGGCTACAGGCCAGAGAAGATTTGTCTGTGTGTAAACTTCTACCCAAACCTTCGGAATTTTGAATCAAGAAAATCACTACCTATTCAAAAAATAAGAAGTTTTTTTTTTTTTAAAAGAAAGTAACAGAGAATCTCCTTGTTCAACCCTTTTCAGTTCAATGAAACAGACCCCTACTGAGTGCCCAGGGTGTGCCAAGCCCTTGGTGGGTGCTGTGGCTCTGCCACAGTGAACAGGACACCATCTCGGGCCACCAGGAGCCCACTCACCCCAGGCAACCCAGGCCCCCCAGGCTGGAGAGCGGGAAGGACAACCACAGGCCCCCCCCACAGCTGGGAGCCTCAGCTGGTGAGGGATGAGGGTCTGTCCAGGGCCAGCCTCTGTGGGGCCTGATGACCACTGGGCCCAGACTCCTCAGGCCCACACTGCCTTTCCCGGCACTGGGGAGGTCAGAGCCTGAAGCAGCTCCTTTCTGTGTGTGTAGGCAAAGGGTACCACACAACCTGCCCCTTCTCTGGTCGCAAGCACTCACTGCTGAGGACCAAAGCAGCACTAATCAGGAGGGTCAAAAAGCCGCGAGCCCCTAGATGGCTTTCAGACCAGACTGAAAATGCAGCTCAAATCCACCACAGTGGTCATCCCTCTCCTGCCTRATCTTCTGCATTTTCTGGCCCTGCCTTCTGTCCCTAAATCTGCTGTCCCAGCCCTCTCCTAGGTCGATGCTGCAGCGACCTAGATACCTACACTTCCCACTGTTTGCCCAGCATTCACAGCTATGTCCCTGGGTGTCCTCTGACCTCACAAGGAAGAAAGAAATACCTCCCTGGAGCCAGGTGCTGTGGTGTGGCACCTGCCAATAATCCAGCCACTTGGGAAGCTGAGGTAGGAGGATGGCAAGTTGGAGGCCAACCTGGGCAACTTAGAGAGACCCCGTCTCAAAATAAAAGTGCTGGGAGTGTAACTCAGCGGTAGAGCACTTGACGAGCAGGCGGGAGGCCCTGGGTTCCATCCCCTAGACGGCAAAAACGAAACAAAACCTTCCCAAGGTGAAGCCACACCTCTSTGTGTTGCCCAGACTCTAGGAGAGTAGGGGAGGAACCACCTGGCTTCCAGTGATCCTCACCTTACCCTGGTAGAGGCTGGGAGGGAAACTGGGCAGGGTGACTGCCTTCAAAGGACAGTCTAGGAACATGAGGCTCAGACATGTRGTATGACCCACTTGCCAGGTAGCTAGAGAGCAGCACGGCTGACATTTTAACCCAGGAGTCCTGACTCCAAACCTCAGACTCTTCACAATACTGTTAGAGGAGAACCTGAGGTCACTAGTACAACCTTGTGTTTTGTGAATGATGAATTGAAGTCAGAAAGGGAGAGGAGCATCTCTGAGGTCTCCCAACATGTAAGATACTGTGCCGCTCTCAAGAACCTGGCCCCTCTAGAGGCTGTTTTAGCCTCTATCGAAGGGATGAAGGCAGGTTGGTTAAGATGACCTGATACTCCCTCCCTTCCAGTGTTCCCTGATTCGTCCCAACTCCCATTTCTCAGCAGTTGCTTCTACCAGGGGCTGTGAACTCAGATGTCTTCAAGGACAGGAAGTTAAGTCATGGAGTGGCCCTGGTCTCCAGGATAAGAGAGCGGAGAGGGTCAGTGTGTGGGACAGAGAAGCGCTTGGCCTGCCTAAAGGCATCCAAACCCAATTAAAAAAAAAAAAAAAATCAATGTTTCAGCTGGGCCTAGCGGCACACGCCTGTAATCCCGGCTGCTCAGGAAGCTGAGACGGGAGGACGGTGAGTTCAAAACTACCCTCAGCAACCTAGCGAGGCCCTAAGCACGCTGCAAGACCCTGTGTCAAAGTAAAATATAAAAAAAGACTGGGGATGTGGCTTAGTGGTTGAGCACCCTGGATTCAATCCCCGGTACCAAAAAAAAAAAAAAAAAATTAATGGTTCAATGTGGACCAATAGTTTGTGGGTGTATGTGGGGGGCGAGGGGGTAGAAGAAATACGAATGAGTGTGAGTCGGTAGTTGTTGAAACTGGGTGTAGGTAATGAGGTCATTAATTAATGTTCTTCCATGTAGGTGTATGTATGTTTTAAATTTTCCGTAATATGAATTTTAATCCATGTGTTATCAAAATTCTATTAGGTCCTTGAGTCACATCAGATCCACAGGTCACCAATCAGAACTGTACTCTAGGCCTTGCTGAGTGTCCCACTGGCTGTGCCTCGCCTTTGGGCCAATTCTGTCTGCATAGCCTAGACAGGGAGATGAGAGAGTGGGAAGGAGACGYTCCTGCTTGGGAAGGGCTGGGAAGCGGGTCGTCACCTGCCCAGGAGCACAGGCTCTGGGGACTGGGTGGATGCAGTGACAACACCTGCCTCTGCCCACACTCCTCGTAGCTGTCCTGCCCCCTGGCACCCAGTTTCCTCTCTGCACCTCACCATACTCTGCTCATCTAGGTCTCTGTGAGCCGGGGTCTGATGCTCTCAGTCTGCAGAGCAGGCTGTGCCCCATCTGGGGGAAACATGAAGGGCACAAGTGGCCCAGTGCTGATGGGAATCTGGAGAGGCACCAGCCGAGCTCCCKCGGGGCCTCACCAGCAGGATCTGGAAGGCACAGGATCTGGGGAGAAAGCGGGTAGGGAGAGAAGGTGTGGGTTGGAAATTTCCTGCTTCTCTTCTCAGGCCGATTGCCATTCACTATAACCCCTTTCTAAACCTTAATGTCTTTGACAAATGTTTACAAATGTCCTGGTTTACAAAATGCTCCACATTTATGGTGTCATTTGATCTTCCCAACCCTCAAAGGTAGAGACATCCCCATTTATACAGGAGGAAACGGAGGCTCCTGGTGATTAGGCAACTTGCCCAAGATCATAGCTTGTGAGTAGCAGAGCCCAGGGCCGACCCAAATTTATTTATTATATTCTTTTTTTTTTTTTTCCTGAGACTCACTATGTTGCCTAGGCTGGTCTCAAACTCCTGAGTTCAAGTGATCCTCTTGCCCCACTCTCCAGAGTAGCTAGGAGTGCAGGTATGTGCCATTGTGCTTGGCTTTGACTTTAACTTTTATGCTCTTTTTGAGGGATGGGTGCGGGGGGGAGTCCCCTGTCATTGGGCTCTGCAGCTTTCCAGGGACCCATGGAGACAAAAGTAAGTTTCACTGGGGTTCTAAATAGTCAATGGAGATGGCAGGAAGTTTCCTGGGGTTACTACTTTGACTGCAAGTGTGCTGAGAGTTTAGCTGAACAGTGTTGTCAAAGGCATTGGCGATACTTGAATGGATCTTCTGGGATATTGACAGTCACTGGGGAAATTTGGATTTCCCAGTYACTTTATGGGATGACCACACAGCACCCAAATCTCACCTAAATGTGACAGAGACACTGAAAGAAGATTCCAGCATTGTCCACATGAACTAGGGAACAGTGACCTTAGGTCTTCCATCAGATCTGAATTTAGTTTTAACTTTGCTGTGTGTGACTCAGGCCCGACTTTTGCCTCTCTGGTCTTTAGGCCAGCCAAACCAAAGTGATCTCCTGTGCCAGCTCACTGCACGGTAAGACTCCACTCTGTTAACAATCTCCTGGAGAAGATGCTTTGGGGAAGGACAGTCCCTGTTCAGAAGAAGCATCCCAGCCCCCTCACTGGGCTGGGAATCTAACACCAGGGAGAGACCAGCATCAAAGCCAGGCACTTGTAAGGAGGAATTCAACAGGCCCGTGCTGGACCGCTGGACCGGCCTGGCCTACAGAGGCTGCTTCCCATGCCTGTTCCCTTGTTAATTTAGCTTGTTTTCCAAACAGGGGCCAAACAGGCCTCTCCAACAGCAGCAGCAGCAGAAGGAAACATTATTAAAAGCGAGTCCRTTCGTGGGCATGGTGTGTGGATGAAGTCTTTGGAGTTTTGGCTGCCAAATAAAGACTTTATTGTTGTCATTCCTCCTTTCCCAAGCTCCCTCCCTCTCTCCTCTCCTCCCTCCCTCCTCTCCCTCCCTGCAATCTGCCCCTCCCTCCCCCTAACCTAACCTCCCCACCCCAGTAGGATCTGGTGGAAGAAAAGTCAGCAGGCACCACCACGGGGAGATCAGAACTTCTAGCTGGCTCTCTGCTGCCACAGCTCCACCGAAGGGTGGGGAGGAAGAGGAGGACCGCCCGACCCAGAGCTGAGGACAGCAGGTGTGTGCAGGTAAGCCCAGGCTGGGAGAGGCCCAGGAGATCTGAAGTCTCCTTCTTCCAGCCAGTTACCCCCTGCCCTGTCCCATCCAGCTTACTGATCAAGCCTCTGTCTTCCCAGTGTGTCCCCGATTCCTTCCCCTACCCTCTCTCCTCCCCAAAGAGCTCAAATGCAGTCTGCCTCCTTTCCTCCCCGCCCTCTTCCTCTTCTCCTCTCCATCCTCCTGTACCCCCATATTTGCTGCTGCTAAAGTGAAACTTTCTTGCTACAGATGTTTGCTGTAGCCCAGAGAGCTATGTCGCACACAGAATTTCAACAGAGCAGGTGTTGCCATAGAAACTGGACACTAAGCCCATCTCTCTGCACCTTTCATGTATCGTCACACTTTGTCAAAGACACACACACTCTCTCTGCGTCTTGTCTCTCACCCTCTCACACACCTCTCCAGCTGTAAGAGCAAAGAGAAAGTGTGTCTTCCCACGGAGATGGCAGAGCCAAAAGAAAATCATGTGTCCTGAGTCTAGGCCGGGCAGGGAGGGGACGAGTGAGACAGGAGCTGGAAGACTCTCTCCGTTCTTTTGAGCTTAATTGGGTAGGAGGGAGAAAGATGTAGCCTTCCAAGCAGATCTGCTCAGCAGTCCGAATTTCTGTCTTCCTGGTCCAAACCACTTGGCTTTTGGAAAGAAAGAAAGAAAAGAAAGCAACCCTGCCTGCAAGTCTTTTTTTTTTTTTTTTTTTTTGGTACCAGGGACTGAAGCCAGGGGCACTTAACCACTGAGCCACATCCCTGGCTCGTTTAATTATTTTTTAATTTAGACACAGGGCCTTGCTAAGTTGCTGAGCAACTTATTTTTTAATTTAGTTCTCAGGGCCTTGCTAAGTTGCTGAGACTGGTTTTGAACTCGTAATCCTCCTGCCTCAGCCTCCTGAGGCACTGGGATTACAGGCATGTGCTACCTCCACATCTAGCCTGCAAGTCTTAGAGGTCCTGATTCCCAAATCTAGGGCAGTTGTTTTTTTGGTTATTATTCTTTTTTTTTCCTTTGTAGGCAAAAAAAAAAAAAAAAAGAAAGAAAGAAAGAAAAAAAATCTCTCCTTAAAGCCATTCCAAAATTAACACAACCCTTGAGGTTAGAAAGGGGATCTTGTGGTAGAGGGAAAAGAAGACAGTTATTCCTTAAGCTATCAGGAAGGGAAAACTGGGGACCCCTCCCCATCCCCTAAACTCACTGACAAGATGGGGAGTGGAGGTCCCATGGCAGGCAGGGTATGGGCTGGCAGGATTCCCAGGCACAGCTCATCTCCAGACACCAGGGGTGGTGGGGACAGTGGCTGTGAGGAGAGCTTGCTAAAAACACAGTGTGTGGACCCTCCTTCCAGGAAGGCTGAATGCAAACCAGGAATCCATGCTTTTAAAAATATATCCAGGGTCCCAATGGTTGGCCAGGGCTTGATAAACTGAGTTGGGGCCTGAGGGAGACCTTCTGCCATGTATAGACCCAGGACTTCCCCAGTGTTCTCTGAGCCGAAGGCTCTGTGGTTGCCTGGAGAAGGAGCTCCAAGTGTCCCAACAGGCCCTCCCTTATCTGGAGAGTCAGAGTGAGCACTGGAGGGAATAGGACTGTCCCCGGTGAGTGGCCCTCTCCATCCTGCTTGCAAGCCCAAGCATCCCTATCACAAAGGATCATTCCAGAAACATAGTTCCCTCAGTACAGCTTCAAAGAGCTCCTGTTTCTTCTTATCTGCCGAACACGATGCTGGCCGAGCTCCAACCCTCCTAGACTCCCTCTCCCCTTCATGACAGCTTTCGGTTCTGACGGGCTGTCTCAGAGGTCGGGCCTACTGTGAAGTTCTTTGCTCCCTCTTCATTTCCCTGGAGGGTAGCCCTGTGTATTGAACACAAGAGAGAAGCATCTCAAAGCCAGAGGGGCAAAACAAAAAACCAGGTGTGAAAGACTGTCCCCAGGTAGCAGGGGAAGGAGACTCCACCTTTGGTACCCTCTTACCAGCTGCAGAAAGTGTGGGGCAAGGTTAGTGAACCAGAGGGACAGAGTTAGCTTTTCCCAGGTGGCCAGGGGGCTTTTAGGGTCTCTCCAAACTCATGGATTCCGAGTCCTAAGTGGAGTCTTCAGAGTCACAAAGAAGTTGCTCTGCATGGAAGAGGCAATATCTACACTGCAAGAAAGACCCCTGCTTTTGAGCAGTGAGTGGGGCTGCCCTTGAACGAGGCTGAAGGAGAAAGGCCCTTTACCTTGAAATATTATCAATAATCCCTTGGCATTCACTGAGCACTTACTTTGCCACATTAACTTACTTAACTTTCAAAATAATCCAAAAAGTGGTTGGCTAGGGGTAAAGTGCCTACCTAGCATGTACGAGGTCCTGGATTTGATCACCAGCACTGGGGGGGAAAAGAAAGGTATTAGTATGCCCAGGGTAAACACCTGCAGATCTGGTTGAGATCCAAATCTATAATTACTGGAGCCATCAGACAGATGATTCCTCCTCCTCCTCCTCCTCCTCCTCCTCCTCCTCTTCTTCTTCTTCTTCTTCTTCTTCTTTGTTGGTACTGGGGGTTGAACTCAGGGCACTCGACCACTGAGCCACATCCCTAGCCCTATTTTGTATTTTATTCCTAGACAGGGTCTCACTGAGTTGCTTAATGCCTCACCTTTGCTGAGGCTGGCTTTGAACTCGCCATCCTCCTGCCTCAGCCTCCTGAGCTGACGGCATTACAGGCGTGTGCCACCATGCCTGGCAAACAGATTCTTCTTGTCCTTCTGAAGCGGCTGGAGATGCTGGAGATGCTGGGGTGGAGCCAGGCCTGGTGGTGCACACCTGGAATCCTAGCTACTCACCAGGCTGAGGCAGGATTATAAATCTGAAGCCAGGCTGGGCAACTTGGTGAGACACTGTTTCAACATCAAAGGACTGGGGCCATAGCTCAGAGGTAGAGTGCTTGCCCAGCATATACGGGTTAGCGGATCCTCAGTACTTGATCCTCAGTACTACACCAAGAAAAAGAAACCCAGGGAGGGAGCAGAGAGGAGGCCATGGTGGRCAGCAGGCTGTCGGAGGAGAAGAGTCTTCTCACTTTTCTCACTCTGGTTTCTTCCACTCTGGTTTCCCAGAAGGGAAAATTTGCTCTTCTGGACTCGTTGCCGGAGGCCATAAAACTTCATTCTGTTTACACTCTGCCTTGTGGTAGACACTGGGGAGACAGATGGTCTCTCCATAATAGTATTATATTTATTTTTAGCACTCTTTGATTGGTAGCACATTTAAAAGTTGCTTATCACATTCCCTTCTGACAAATGCAGGAGGAATGTAGACAGAGAGAAGGTTTTGTTATCCCCATTTTACAGATGAGGCAATTGAGGCTCAGRACAGGACCACACCAGTCCTAATGGGGATTGGAAAGAGTTCCAGGCTGACTGGGTGCACCTGTCTCATTCCTCTACGGATGAGCGAATGAGCGGGCAGAGATGCCTGATTGTCCCTGCTTCCAATTGCCCTCTGGGCTACAGGAAGAGATATAGAGAACAGAATGGCTTTCAAAAGTCTGGGTTTAAAAGAGAAAGAAGAGGAAGAAGAGATGGGACTAAGTGTGTAGCTCAGTGGTAGAGTGCATGCTTAGGGTGGGTGAGGCACTGGGTTCAAACCCCAGCACCAAAAATGGGGTCTAGGAGTGTCCATAGGCCTGGCTYGGGGACAGGGTAATCTGTCTGTGCTAAGCCACGAGGACACTGACTACCTAGGCAGATAATTTGTTGTAAGAATGTCGGTTCATAGTATGGAATAAAACTGATGCTAACACTGCCCAGCCCTGGCAGACGACCCTGATCTCTCCACACAAAGCCAACTATCCTTAACCAGCTCCTAAGGACTTGACAAACCCTCTGGGCCTCAGCCCAGCCTTGTTCAAAGCTGAAACACTGTACCAGTCCTGGATTCTAACCTTAAATACATGTGATAGATAAGAAAGAGGAATAGCTCACTTTAAAGATCAATGAACTCCCTAGAGAACCCACTCTTTTGTAGATAAATAAATAGATGAATCAATAAGTCCTGCCACTTGTAGAGATTTTGGACCTCGATTGCGTGCCTTTGAATGCATGATCTCATTTAAATCCTCACCCAGATGAGCTGGCTGGTGCCCGGGGAAGAGAGTCAGAGCTAGGGTTCAAGTTCAGATTTATATAGTTGGAACTGACATTTGAATTTTAAACTCTCTTAGGAAATGTGCCTAAATGTAGAGAGTGAATTTAGGGTTGTCCAAAGCAACTGCTGTTCCCCTCCATGAAGCAGCACCTTTGTGAGAGCCGGTGCTGGGGACCCGGGCTGCATGAATCACGTCGTTGTAGGTGTCTAACAAGCGGTCATTGACTAGCAGAAAGGGGGAGTGGGGTGGGGAGGTGTGCTTGCAAAAGCATAAGAAGTTTTAAACACACATGCACAYTCCACCCTGAGGGAGCTTATTGGACAGAAGGCAGGAGTAGAGAGGGGTAGGTTTGGGGCTCTGGGGGAAGTTCTGTGACTCTCCTTGAAGTCTGGGTACCTCCAGGATCTTGGGTCTGGTTTTAGAGACTTAGGATATCACTGAGTTTGGGCCAGAGAACTGCTGTGCTGCCAGCCAAGCTCTGCAGGGCGGAGCAGGCCCCTGAAAAAGGCCTTAGAAACTAGCACTATTTCCTTGTGTGCTCAGGCCGTGGAGTGGCTCTGATTCAGCCTGGGGCTCCAAGCTTCTGTGGAAACTTGCCCCATGCCCCACGCCCCAGGGTGCATTTCCTAGGGAGGCTCTTGTAGGTTCTGGGAGGAATTTGGCTGGCCCTTGAGGACTGGAATGCAACAGGGTCAAAGGGACTGGTGGAAGGATAAGATGGTTATCCAAGAGTCTGGCACTGGAGATGGGGATGTGGTGGCCCTGCAGGGCAGAACTGGGACTGACCTTCCCATTCATGTCACCCTGACAATGGCCATCCAGGCTCTGTGACACTGAGAACCCACCCCCGCAGAGGCCAGCTCCCAAGTCACTCCCAGATAACAGAGCAGGAAGTTTCTGGAAGCTCTGCGAGCMTTGCTTGCTTTAAGGGCACCTCACATGTGCTTTGGTGACAAAGGCAATGAAGGGGAACAAGGAACCTCAGCCGCCTCTAGACTTGGCCTTGGAGCCAGTATTCTCACAGCAGGAGAGATTTACTTCTGGCGTATTTCCAGACTTCTGGGTGATTAAAATACAAAGAAATTCACAAAGGGGCAGGGGGACAAGGTCCATAAGTTGGGCTTTTAAAAATGTTTAGGTTTAGAATATTAGTGTTTAAACTGCCCCCTTAATTTATATGTAATATGATTGTGTGCTATTTTCCAGAAAATTATAGGCTTTATAAAGTGTGAATTCATAATTCAACAAATATAAGTGATCTGGAGTCCAGCAATGAGGCTCAAATTTAAGGTTCCACAATGAACGTCTTGTCTTTTCAGTCCTTTCAGTGGGTCGCCAGACTGTCGCACCTCCACAGCAGGTGAGGCCAAGAACCTCACTGCAAGGCCCCTGGGGACAGAGAGGCCCAGGGAAAAATGGCCTGAGACCCCCTTGGAGAAGCCAGCCTCCCTCTCCACTTCCTTCCCACACACGCATGCACACAGGGCACATGCGAGTGTGAGTCTGCTTCTATGTGTGGAATGGGGAGAGGACCATGCATGTAGGTGTGCAAGAGTGTGTGGCTGGGCTCTAGGGTGTGTGTGCAGGTGTGAGTGAAAGCTGTGAACCCCAAGAAGCCTGCATCCCCAGGGCTCAGGACAGGGGGTGGACCACCACAATTGGGCAAAAGGTACAAAAAAATCCAAAGGGACCTTGGCTGGAGACCAGCAGGGATAGAATAGAGGTGATAGTCTTAGAAAGGGAAGGTACAGGGCACCCTTTCCCTGGACCCTTCCCAGCCCAGGCCAGGGAAGGAAGCCTGTGGGAACTGCCACTCTCCACTGTGGCCCTGGGTTGATTGATATTTCTTTAGGTTCATTCAACTCCAACCACATGGCCCTATCTGAGGTGTCATCAAGGCCATTGGAAAGGCAAATCCAAAAGATCCTTCAGCTTCCTATTCCAATGTTACTGAAGACAAAAGGAAGTTCCTCTTGATAGCTTACCTCAGTATTACCAACTCCAAAGGATATGGGGAACAGAAATACCAGGTCAAAGGAAAAAGTGCTTTTCCCCATATCTTTCTATTCCTTTCCTATTTATTTTCCCAGGAGCCTCCACATCTGGGGAGAAATACCTGGCATGGCTTATGCTGGCAAAGACCAGCATTTTCTGAGCCAAGTGCAGTGGGCGAGGAGAGGGGAGGCCAGAGCCCGGGTGAGCATGGGTGGATGCAGGGTGTCTGAGCACTTGCCTTCTTCCCATGAGCTCTGCTCCCTCTGGAAGGTGGAAGATTTCGATTTTTGTACTCAGTTGTCTGTGAAATGACTTCCTGGCCTTAGCAAGCCACTTTTTTCCTCCAGACTCACTTTTCTGTAAACAGTGGGTTCTTGGTGGGGTCAAACCATTTTTGGTAATGAAATTTTTTCTTTTCTTTTCTCAAATGAATGTTTTGGCTAAACCTCAATGTATACAACAGATTTTTAAAATCTAAGTTGGTACAAGAGTGGGCTGAGAGTACCCAGGGCCACCTCCTCAGTTCCCCAACCCAAGGGACCCTGTGGAAATGGAGGCACAGTTTGAAAAACACTGTGATGGGATCTCTAAGGACTCTTCCAGATGCAACACCCCAGGACTCAAGGCTCATACATCCTAACATGCCTCTTATAAAGGCAGGAATGATCTTTTCATGCCACAAATGGAGAGATGCAGGACCAGAGGGGTCAAGGGCCTTCTCCAACTCCTGACCCAGTTCAGTGGGCTTTCTCCCAGGATGGACCATCCTCCCCAGAGCAGGTTCATTGCTACTGTGTGGGAAATCCAGAACCTGGAGCCTTCTTTATCCTCACCTGCTCTACAGTCCCCGAGCTCTGTACCATCTCCCCAGGAGCCAGTCCTGCCTGACTCTGGCCATAGAGTCAAGGCATCTACCCCTGCAGCCCCCTAATGAACCCCTGTGTCTCCCCTCTGCAGGTGAATCACCTGGATCATGAGGCCATCCCTCTGCTGGCTCCTCCCACTTCTCTTCATCTTGGCCTCAGGGGCCCAAGGCCAGTTAACAAGACGACCAAGACCTGGGAGCCGGCCCAGGCCCAGGCCCCAGCCCCGGCCCAGGCCCACTCCAAGCTTTCCTCAGCCCCATGAGCCAGCAGAGCCCACAGACCTGCCTCCCCCACTGCCTCCGGGCCCTCCGTCTGTCTTCCCTGACTGTCCCCGGGAATGCTTCTGCCCCCCTGATTTCCCATCGGCCCTCTACTGTGACAGCCGCAACCTGCGCAAGGTCCCTGTCATCCCGCCCCGCATCCATTACCTCTATCTCCAGAACAACTTCATCTCTGAGCTCCCTGTGGAGTCCTTCAAGAACGCCACGGGCCTGAGGTGGATCAACCTGGACAATAACCGGATTCGCAAGGTAGACCAGAGGGTGCTGGAGAAACTGCCCAGCCTGGTGTTCCTCTACATGGAGAAGAACCAGCTGGAAGAGGTGCCCTCRGCCCTGCCCCGGAACCTGGAGCAGCTGAGGCTCAGCCAGAACCACATCTCCAGGATCCCCCCGGGCGTCTTCAGCAAGCTGGAGAACCTGCTGCTCCTGGATCTGCAGCACAACAGGCTGAGCGACGGCGTCTTCAAGCCCGACACCTTCCAGGGCCTCAAGAACCTCATGCAGCTCAACCTGGCCCACAACATCCTGAGAAAGATGCCACCCAAGGTCCCCTCGGCCATTCACCAGCTCTACCTGGACAGCAACAAGATCGAGACCATCCCTAATGGATACTTTAAGGGCTTCCCCAACCTCGCCTTCATCCGGCTGAACTACAACAGGCTGTCGGATAGGGGACTCCCCAAGAACTCCTTCAACATCTCCAACCTGCTCGTGCTGCACCTGTCCCACAACAAGATCAGCAATGTGCCAGCCATCAACAACAAGCTGGAGCACCTGTACCTCAACAACAACAGCATAGAGAGTGAGTGGGGTGGGGCCAGGGCTGCAGGGGCCAGGGCCAGGGAGGCTGGGGGCTCTACACCCTTTCTCGGGAGCCTCAGAGTGGGGGATACCAAAAGCATCCTCTGGGAAGGATATGGCTGAGTGGTAAGCGCTTGCCTAGCATCAGGAGGCTTTGGGTTTGATCCTTAGCACTGGAAAAGCATCCACTTGATCTCTGGACTGCAAATCTTAGCCTTACCACTTGCTGTATGTATGTGACCTTGAAAAGTTAGTTGACCCTTCCAGGAAGTGTTCTCATCTGTAAAAAGAGAATGAAAATAATACCTTGTAGCACAAGGTTGATAGGAGGACTTAATAGTTAAATATGGATGAAGTTACAAAATGCCATGTTTGGAGGGTAATAGGTTTTCTTCCTCCATCTGTTCTCATCAGTACCAGTTTCTCTGGCATCTGGATCTATTAATAGGGTAGACATAGAATATACTCCTGGACATTCTCCTAAAATCAGAATAGAAATATTGAATGCTCACCCTGAAATGTCCTGGGCTGGTGTGCTGCAGAAACCCGCACTAGTGAGAGAAAGCTTCTTCTCAAAGTTGGGGCTCGGTTTTGAAGAGTCTGTGAAAGGTATCCAGAGAGGCAGCTATTTTTTCAGCATACACAACTGGTAAAAATGTGGCAGCTAGGGGGAAAAATGCCTGAATGCTGGTGCTTTCTGAATCTGTCTGGAAGGTTGCAATATTTAGTTGCACATTGGAGAGAGAGTTGGCCTAAGCTATATTACACGGTCCTCAGCTTATTGCAGCCTAGAACAGGAAGTGGAGAGTCTCAACTTTGCTTTAATCAGAATGTCAGATCTGAGCAGAAGCTTCAGAAATGAAAGAGTATCTGGCTCCCTTCATATAAGGAATTGCCACAGTCCGGCTGCAGCAAAATAACGGGGGGGGGGGGGTGACGAACAACTTGTGTACATTGATACAGCAGGAGTGGGAGCCGTTTATTGTAGGACAGGAGGGGTATWTATACATTCCACACAGCTTATCTTAATTAACATAAAMTAGATACAGCAGTCAACCAATAAGAAATCTCCACACTTAATGGCTCGCTGGCGCCACCTCACAAACCACTCCCCCTGGCAAAATGCCAGGCGCCATCCTGACTTGTTTATAGACTCTAACAAGGAATGAAGGGTGAAGAGAATCAAGGAACAAGAAAGGGAAACCTAGAACACTATGAGAGGATCTTTGGTTTCTAATCCAAAAAGAGAGAATTTAAGTTTCTATGATCTTGGAACAAATGGACACAACAGGCCTGTTCATGTATCTGGGATAATTACAAGAAGTGAAGAAGGTGTTTGTTTGTTTATCTTGCAAGAAAAAAAAATTCAGGAAAATAGAAAAACAGTCTAATTTTACCCTGCAGATAGCAATTAAAGTGGAACACATTAACCCCAGGAAGATGAATAGGTTGAGAATATAGACAGAAAGGACACTTCAATTAATAGATGGTGACAGTTCCAGACTGTGGAAAAACATGTTGCAGAGGGGTATCTCAGACTGCTGAGGTTGAAGTCAGAAAAATCATGTCCTCCACTGCAAGCGCTCACCCCCACCCAGCCTGACTTCCACATCACTAACAGATAGAATAGGATGGGCACAGTGGGACCTGGGTCCGCATGATGATTATGTTTTCTTTCCTTTTTGGTACCGGGGATTCAAYCCAGAGGCACTTAACCATGGAGCCACATTCCCAGCCCTTTTTAATATTTTATTTAGAGACAGGGTCTTGATGAGTTGCTTAGGGCCTTGCTCCTGAGGCTGGCTTTGAACTCAAAAATCCTCCTGCACCAGCCTCCTTCCCAAGACACTGGGATTACAGGCATGTGTCAAACCATGCCTAGCACGATTATGTTTTCAACAATTATCATATTGCTGCCACCTGTACATTTTGCAAAATGACATCATAAACATTCCCTCGTTGATGTCCAGGGCAGGCACCACCCTCAACATTTCACACAATGAGGAACAAGTGTCAGAATAATAAGGCACAAAATAATAAAGCCCTATGGGAAAATCCACCTCGGTCAGGGTCYTTCCACTACCTCAACCATGAAAGAGGAAAAACAGGAGAGGAAGAGAAGACAACAATGACTGCTCCCTCTCTCCCCTCCTTCGTCTCCACAGAGGACAAGCAAGGCCAGGCTTAGGGAGAAAAGAGAATCTTATTTAGAAGATGACATGCCTCGTCTGTCTCACAAGAGCGCAAAGGAGAAAATGGAATCTCAGGCCATGGACACTTGAGAATCAGTGGGCTCATCACCTCCCCAGCTCTCTGTTCCTCTTCCTGTCATCCCTACTCCTGTTGACATAACCATCTTCCATCCATCCTCACACTCCACCCCCACCCCACAGGCGTAATTCTCCAGAGTAATTCTCACATCCCCGAGGTTTCCGATCTTCCCTCCCTCTGTTCCTTCTCCACACTTAGCTAGATTCCTCTTTCTACAGCATAAACCTGATCATGGGGGTCTCTAAGGACCCCTTCCAATTTAACACCCCAGGATGCAATGGGTCCGTTATCCTCACATCCAATTCTCTGGAGTGACTTCAATAACAATTATTGATCATTTCCGACTTCAGTCATTTTGCAAATGAGTAAACAGCCTGGAGGTTAGGGCCACTCATCTATGGTCACTCATTCCCAAGGTCGGCTAGTTCCAGAGAGAATTCTAGAGTCCTTCCTTCTCTTTGCCTCCCACGTACCCTGCTGTTGACGTCTCCCTTTCTTTCTCCATAGAAATCAATGGGACGCAGATCTGTCCCCATGACCTGGTGGCCTTCCACGACTTCTCCTCAGACCTAGAGAACGTGCCACACCTGCGCTACCTGCGGCTGGATGGGAACTTCCTGAAGCCACCCATCCCGCTGGACCTCATGATGTGCTTCCGCCTCCTGCAGTCCGTGGTCATCTAGACCTTGCCCTGGGCTGGACCTCCTCTGACCGCACTTGAAGGCGCCTGTGCCCATCATTTTTCTCTGTCGCCCTCTCTTGCTCTCAGCCCTGCCTCTTACCTCTCCCCTTTCTGAGGATGGGAGATGCCGTATGTTCTGCTGCAGCTCTGAAGCAAGACTTCCCAGGGCTTGATTTGGTCCCACCCAGTTCAAAGGCACCCCCTGCACAACCCCCCCAAACGGCTGGCCTCCTGTGGTCTCCCTCTGCTCCAGAAACACAGATGTATGCCTAAGGACTTCACATACCCTCTTCCCTCTTCCACCCATCACTCCTGGCTCAGGCTGGGCCATGGATTGACATCTGACCTTGGTCCTGGCCAAGTGAGACACAGAGATGATTTGGGGAAGCCCAGAGGTGAGCTTTGGAGAGTCCTGCTGGAGATTTCTCCATCTTGGGCAACGCTGCCCCAAAGAGGCTGAGAAATCCAGGTCTCCTCAACCAAGGATCCCTCCTTCCAAAACTGCTGTTCCACCTCCCTGTTCAGGGACACTGCACTGCTCTCTGCCATCCACATTATCCAGGAAGGAAGTGTGAGGGAATGACCAAGATGGGCCGGAGGGTGAGGGTTTCCAAAGGGCCTGCATCTGGCTGTCTCTGCACAGGGATAGTCTGAAGTCCCTCCTCCTTCTCCAGGCAAACCCAGTCTCCTGCTGGGCYTCAGATAGGAACAGTGGCTCAAAGAACTGGGATTCAGCTAGAGGGAGAGGGCTGGGGATCAGGGTCKGAGGCTGGGCCCATGTCAGTATAGATGGGCCCTGCAGCCCCCCTGACCCAACTTCAACACAAGTCCTGAGGCCCTGGGGAACACAGTGTTCACAGTGGAAGGTCAAGASACACCGCCCCACCCCGCCATCTGTTCCGTGTTAGTGTGATCAGCCCAGTCACTTCCACCCCCAAGCAGGCGGTTCTTGAGGAACAAGGAAGAAGGGGCGGAGCATCTGGAAATCTCCCAGAAGCCTCTGCCACATTGGAATTTGGCCCCCATTTCTAAGACAGACACATCAGTGACACCTGGTGGCTGCTGAAGGTCACAGCTGGCTCCAGACTCCTCACCCTCTCKGTGGGGTGATGTTCCAAGGTTAAGAAGCTGGTATAGGATTCCAGCTTGGAAGAGCCACGGGTGACATGCATGGTGCCTCTCTCCTCTAGAGCCCAAAGGGCACAAAGGTGTAGAGGTTTGCATCTTTACTAACAGTGAATGAGCATAAATGGGAAACCTTGGAGAGCCCAGATGAGAATACAGTTTGACCTTGATCCTGACAGATCCATTTGCTCTCAGCTCCCACATCCATAAACACAGGTGGAGATAAGATGCTCCTTTGAGATCCCAGTTCTCATGTGCCAAGTCTTCATCTCTGCACTCTCCAGCACACCCTAATGCAGGACAAGTCTTACCTATTACCCCTTTCTTTGCAGTAATTTATTCCCTATATGATTGTCCCTCCCCAGAGGATTCTCTTTTCTCCTTACCTGGCCCAGGTGAGCAGCTCAGCAGGTCTCCAAGTGGCACCTGGGCTTCCTCACCTACCTCTTTCCCCCTAATTTACTCCAGGGGCTCTGACCCTCTGTAGTCCTGAGTGTGTATGCTGGTGGGGAGTATGGAGAGGTGGATGTTCTGGAAACAGGTAACACAGTGCCCACCCTCAAGTCAGGATGAGAAAAGCTCCAAAGGTTTCAATAAGTTGGATTAAGCAGAGTCCCTAACRTTAAGGTATTTCTATTATACTCTCATTCACTTCTTTTTTGCACCTTCTAGGCCCATCCCACCCCTGACTCTTTTCCCTGCTCCATTCAGCTTCCTCTTCTGGCTGCAGCTGGTTTCTCCAAGGCTCCTGCTTAAAGTCAACATATTATTATGGCTGCAAGCAACCTGGTGCTATGGCCTGGATAAGCCCCCTTCGGACCTGTTCACACCTTGTGACCTCAGCCCCTTTGGTGAGGCCCTCAGGGGAGCACAGCTCCTGTGACTCCCCAGGGGGAGCCTAGTCCTGCAAACCTGAACTATTTTCTTTTAGTGGCCACACCATCATCGCCATTCCATTGCCCCATCTAGAATCCGTCTGCTCCCTGTGTTGCTCTCTGCAGCTGTACACCACAGGGGTAGCATTCAATTGGCATCATAGGTTACCCCCACCCCGGCCAAGCACACACAATGGGCAGGTTGCCTTTCGGTCGGTTTAGAAAGCCCCTTCTCTTTACCCAAGTTCATCGCCTCAGTGCTGTTGGCATCTACATAAACAGGTGTGTACGTAGGTGTGTATGTGTACTCTGCACATATAGCTACTCTCTCTTGAAGACCATGTTAACTTTGTGGAACAAGTTTCACATTTCAACACGCTTTACAGCAGAGGAAATAAAGTAATTTGAAAAACAACTTGCTTGAACTTGAGACTGTGAACAGGTCAAGATAATACCTTAAAGTCATCTGTATCCCTATTCCCTGACACCACCCCCCACCTCCACACCACTTACTGAGAAGATGGGTGGAGGAAAGATATTATTCTTAAGAATCTTCTGGGACAGTCATCTCAAAGCTTTTTCTCAGAGAATTTCCTCAAAACTCATAGCCCTCAAGAAAAATTATTCCTAATGTTAGACCAGAAATCAAACAGCCACATCTGAATCCAAACCCCCAGGTTCTTTTGACCCACAGACACTAAATTGTCAAGGTCTCCCCAGGCTCAGTTTTGAGGCACAGGTGGAAAGACAAAACAGTCAACTTTCCTGGCCAAGCAAGCTTAGGGATGAATTGGGGAAATGTAATGCGCACAGGAACAATGGAAAAGCCATTTTGAGGGCAGAGAATAAAGGGCCAAATCATTTGGAATGGTCTGTAGGCCATGCAGAAGTTCCTGAAAGGCAAGCAGGGGGTGCCCCTGGCTCCTCTTTGGAAGGAACTTGGCTCCAAAAGTGACTTACTAGAATCCCAGTTCATACCACCTTCCGTAGGAGAAAACTGCCAAATATGCCCTCCTGCTTCCCATCCTGCCTGCTGAACACCTGCTTCAGGTCCATTTGGCAAATGTTCAGGGACATCAACTATAGGCCAGGTTCCCAGTTAAGAATTTAGGCTGAGCAATACAGACCCCATGCCCTTGAGGAATTCATAACTTGGTAAAGGGGGAAATTCCACGAGCTGGATTTCAGTCTGAAGCGTTAGGAGTCATGCTGTGCACAAACAGGAGGGAGGAGAGGACCCCTGTCTCTGCTTAGAGGAAACTGGAAAGGCTCCTGTCATTTAAGCAGGCTCTTAGGGATCACTCGAATTTTGTCACATGGGAAAAGGAAAAAGCACATGTCTGGAATGGCCAACTCAAGGAGGAGAGGAGTCCACCCTGGAGAAGGGGGAGGGGGATTCTGAGGAGAAAGAAAGAATTGTGTTCCTGTCCTGGAGTTCCGTGGCTAGCAGTCCTCAGCAGGGAATATACCTTGCTATCCAAAAAACAGGAGGGTTCTTGAACTTTCCACCCCCACCACTCTCCCTGCCCAGAACATAGGCAGCAACAAGGTCATCTGGCCAGGCTTCTGTCCACACCGCCTGCCACCTCTGTTCCATCAACATGCCTTGTGCCTCTGCTAATGAGAGATTAGGATGAAGACGCCTCCCCCGACCACCCGCCCCCTTTGCCAGGCTCTCGCGGAGCTGAGCCGTCTGCAACAGCACGCGGGTGGGCCATTTCCCACGCAGGTCACTCATACACGTCCATGGCCACTCCCTGAAATCCATGGGAACCGGTGTGTAACCGCGAGCTTGCGAAAGCGAGAACAGAAGTCGGGAGAGAGTCTAGGACCAGAGCCTGCATCAGAAGGTGGCTCCCAGCGGAGGATGCGGGGGCGCGCGTCAGGCAGCCGGCGCATGCGCGGTCGCGTGGCTGGCCGTGAGGTTGGAGGGAGCTCGGAGGAGGACCCATCGCAGGGCAGAGGGCATCGCGACCTGCRAGGGTGTCATGAGAGAGTGGAGAGGGAGGGAGGGAGGAAGCCAGTGGCGGGGGAATGAATGAACAGTAGCGTTGGCTGGAATAAAGTGTGGGACCGGAGGGGGGATGCTCCYAGACGGACCTTGGGGACAGAGGTCCTCTGGCCTGGCTATGGAGAGGAAAGCCGAGGAGCACAGTCTGCCAAATGTGCCATCTGCTTCCCCGGATCCCTTCTGGCTGCAGGACTACACCTCCCTCCATCCAGGAGAGGCCTGGGTGGTGTGGCTCCAGGGTGGGGAAGTGCCAGAGGCACAGGACCGTACATTTCTCAGGTGCCCAGCTTTCTTGGGTTGAGGGAAGGCCCCCTCCCACGCCGGCTATGAGGTCTGCCCCTTTACCTGTTAGACCAGGGCAGAGATGAGTTTGCCAAGACCATCTGTTCTGAGCGCTCAGAGACACATGGTCTCAGGGCTCCCTGGGATGAGGTCGAAAAGATGAAATCCTACAAACCAAGGCAAACTCTGGTGTGAGACTCAGGGAATCTAGGTGCTGGGTGTGGCTCTGAGTGATCTTGGGCAAGTCGCCGCCCTTCTCTGAGCCTTGGCTTCCTCATCTGTTCAATACAGGGATGAGACTCAGTTGGCCTTGAGGCTAGAATAAAGGATTAGCCAGTGGGAGGGAACAGGGGGCAGAGAACATCATGGAAGAGCCTGGCAGAGGTGCCGGCTGCAGGCTGGCAGAATCAGAGAAACATTTTAGCCACGCCCACTCACCGCCTGTCTGAGGCACCAAGTAAAGAAGAATTTCTCTTGATCAGTACATCTTTGAGAGGAGGAGGTACTTCCCAGCCAGCCCCAAAGGCTCCTCGTGGTGTCTACAGTGTTTATGATGAGGAAGTCCTTTCTGGTGTCCAAGCCCAACGCCCGTCCTTGGAGTTGTTGGAGGAGACTTCTGGTTCCATGTCCTTTCTTCCTAGAAGTTTTAAAGAATTTTCTGCATCCTCCTCCTGATCATCATCTGTGAACTTTAAGTTGGCTTTCGAATCCTTCCCCACCCCCTCTTCACCATCTCTTTGCATCCCGCAGGCCCAGACCCTCCCGCTGGTGATTTTGTTCAATATGGTTCCTTTCAGGGACTGTGGGTGTTGGGGCTGGTTGGCACTCCTCCTCGGCTCAGCCTCTTTTTATCTTTCGATTCCATCTATGAAGCCAATCCTCATCACTCTTTGGTTGGAGAGGGAAAAAAAACCAAAAAACTGGGAAGGCAAGTTCCAGCCCTCCACATACCCTCAACCCAGCCTTCTCAGAAAGTTCAGAATCTGAGGGTGAGGCCCCTTCATTTTAGGGTGGGCACGGCCTGCCCCTCAAAGACCTGGCCTTACCGGGAGGGTGGCCAGAAAGAGAGGGAGCAGACAGTTAAGAGAAAGAGAGGGGGAGGGTGGCAAAGCTGGTGGAGGGAGAGAGAGGAAGAATTTCCTTCATCCAGCAAAGGAATGGAATTGGGGACCCCCTGAGGAAAGAGGAGGGGAAACAGCAGGACATCACAAAGAATGAGAAGTCTGATTGGACCCACGCCTGCCTGCCTGCTTGTCCTCCTGCCCAGCGTCTGCCCCACAGCAGCCACCCTTTCCATCAGAGTCCCTCTGTCTGTATGCTGTAGGGCTCCATTTGGAACCAAAGGGCATCTAAARGGTAAGGTTCAAGGTTGGAGGCCTCAGGGCCACAGGTGAGGGGAAAGAGCTGGGGCTGGGCCAGGGAGGACGGAGGGAGTCTAGGCCTCTGGCTGCAGAAGTTGGAGGAGGCTTCTGGTTGGGTAGTGAACTCTGCCTCAGGAGTTTATTTAAAATTCATGTAGTTTGATTTGGAGTAAGGAATGGGAAGTGAGGTGAAATGTGCCCCTTTGCTACTGCTGGGGGCTTAGCCCTTTGCCCAGCTGAAATTGAGGAGGAGGGTCTACTAGAAATGTGTGCAGGGACTTTGGGGAGGGCCGTGTGATCAGTCACACACCTGCTGTGTCTGTGTATCCACTCTCCATGGATGCATCCACGGCCATTCCACACACATCCCTCTGCCCATCTGTACAACATGGGTGAGCTAAATAAATGAACATTCACACTCACGTGACCATCACACATGGGCATGGTCACCAGTGCGCTCACACATACACAGATGTACAGATATCTAAGGAACTTTCTGGATGTGTCTACTCTCTTACAACACACAAAGAATTCTCTGATTTCTAGAAATAGGTTTGTAAAAAGTTGCTTCTCTCAATCTATGTTATGAACTAACATTCTTTACATTGCATGTCAAATTTTAAGTCCATATCTCCAAACAGATGAGGTGCTCCTGAGAAGGGCCACACCATGTTCATTCTACCCCTGCCAGAGGCAAATCTAGTGCCAGGAACTTAACAAGGACCCCATACATGTTCGTTGAGTGAATGCATGATTGAGTGATCTCTAACACACACACACACACACACACACACACACACAACAAAGACTCCTTGAGGTTGAGGGTTTCTCTAAATCTAATTTAGTATCTAACTGTTATATTTTGAGTGTGCAGTTAAGGGAGAATATCTACACAGATGCACAAATGCATGCCGGGAGCGCTGGGAGGTGCATGGAAAAAGGGCTTTGGTGAGTGAGTCTGTGATGAGGAATCAGGATTATGTGGGTATCTGCATGTGCTGTATGAGATAACACCAGTGTGGGTGTGTGGAAGAGGTGCTGGGGGTGCCCCCAGTCATAGCCCAGCCTTTGGGGAGCTTGAGCGTGGAGTGAAGGTGCTGAGTAAGCGTGCATGATGAATGGTGGGAAGGGGAGGAAGTTTGCAAGCCATTCCCACCAGGCACAGACAGCCGCTCTTCCTCATGTGCACCCCCCAGGATGGGTGCTGTAGTGATTCCACCCAGTTCTCACCCCATTCCCACCCCCAGGCCCCTCATGAGGCTCTCCACGTTGTTCCTGAGCCTGCTGGCCTTGGTGCTGCAGGAGGCAGGGCCGGCTTCTCTCCCAGAGAAGGAACAGAGGAGGAGCGAGGAGCAGAGCCACTATGGGGAAAGCGATCCTTACTCGGAGCTGCATGTGGGGAGCTACATGGTGATCCCGGATGACTACAGTGAGGTCATTGACCTCAGCAGCTATGAGGAGCTGGCTGACTACGGGGACCAGCTGGCTGAGGTGAGGGACACGCAACTGACCATACCCTGCAAGACCAGGCCCCTGGCCCCTCTCCACCTGCCCCAGATGCAGGCTTCTCAAGCCTCCAACTCTCTGTAAGGGGCATAGGACCCTCCATAGGACATTGTCACTTACATGATATTAAGAAAGAGAACACAAACCTCCAGTTAGAATATTGATAGCAAATTAGAAGGACCCCCTCACCCCCTTAGAAGTCATKCGTCCCTCCCAGGCTGTCAGGTATGACAGTGTGCCTCATTGAGGTAAAGGTCAGCAAAGTCCTCATATTCTCCCCCAAAAGGAAATATCACCTGCATCTCTTTTCCTAGACTGTCCTCCAGTTTGAAGCCTCTGCTGTGGGTGCTGTGAGCCAGGTCAGCATGGAAGAGCACCTGCTGAGGGAATTGGGGACCCAGGTGCTAGCTCTGCCTTAGCTCCGACTGGCTCCCTGATCCGAGTCCCTCCCCTCTCTGGGCCTCAGTTTCCTCATCTATCTAATGAACATGTGGATCTGATACTCTTTAAGGTCCCTTCCTGGCTCACTCTTTGTGCTCTTCCTCCGTCCTCTTTCACAGTGACTCTTTGCAAGTTTGAGATGGGTCACTGAGGTTTCTAAAGCCCAAAGTTAGGTCCTTTGTGGGCAAAATCCAGCCTACGGTATGCTGTGTGCTGTGTCTCCAGGTTAAGGTAACCAGCCTGGCTCCTCCAACCAGGATCAGTCCCACCCAGAGCAAGGTGACTCCAAGGACACCCTTGTCAAACCCCACGATGACCAAGCCTACTCTGCCAGGCCCACTGGGCTCCCCAGCCAGCCATGGTAAGTACACAGTCAAATGGTTATCATATCTGTAGGTCCAAGGTCCGGCAGCCATGACCCAGCACCAGGTGGTACCCAAGTGGAGTGTGGTCAGGAGTAGAAACAGAATGTCAAGGCTGGCACCTAACAGCAGGGAGAGGAGGGGAGATAGCCATTGGGGGGGGTCGGCTTTCCTAGGTGAAGCAACTGCAAGCTTTCCCTGTGCCCCAGCAGAGCCACCCTACCCTAATTAACAGCATCACTCAGGGAGCAACTTGAGTGGTAATTAGATTAGACAATTAAAAGCCTGTAGAGAAGGATAAATAACTTTGTGGCTGTCATTGGCATGGGGGCCAATGAAGCCGTCACTGCTTTCAGCCTCACATTCACCTCCTTAGCAGCCCCAGCCCCTCCCCGTTCCCTCCCAAAGCCTTTCTGGAGCCGGGGATGCTGGTGTGGCCAGTGGAGAGGGCTCAGTACGCTGCTGGGGACCAGAAACTGGGGCATCGGAAGGAAGCAGCTCATTCTGGGCCTGCTTGCACTCGGCATCCCTCTTCTCAGGGTATTTGTGTGGGTGCTCCTGGGGGACTGGAGCATCAGCCAAGGCCTTTGGTCAGGATCCGTGACCTTGCAGAGCCATAGAAGCTATTAAACCCTTAAGAGACGGTAAAGAGCCTTAGCTGGACCTGCCATTCAAGGCCTTGGGATAAGAAGGGTCCTGGGGCCCCTGCTTTACCAGTCCTGCTGGTCACTGCTGGCAGGGAACTGCTACTTCATCTTGGGGCTGTTACTGCTACCGTAGTGCTTCCTTGAGTYGGGCTAATAATGGCCTCACAGGAATTTCTGTCCTGCGAGAACTGACAGAGCCTCCCATAGGGTCCTGGGCCTGAGTCAATACAGTCTTCCCAACTTTTTAAAGGTGGTCTGAGTTGGAATGGACTGCCTTAGCCGCAGGAGTGCCGGATACAGAGGTGGGGCCATGGACTGGGCCTAGGGGAGGGCTGTTTCCCAGTAGAAAATCGGGGTGCTGCTGCCGTAAGAAGGGGAGATGGTTGTGGCACGGGCATTGGCCAGTCCGTCTGGGCCTTACTGTGCTTCTCAGAGCCTCAGAGAACATGTCCAACTGCTCTTCCCAAAGGCAGCTGGCAGACCCGGCAACCAACCCCCGACTATTCCTCTGAATTCTGGCTTTGTCTCATCTTTACTGTACCTGTTGAGACCAGAGAGGAGACCTGTGGGAAAAAGGCCACTGGATATCCTAGAAATGCTCACATAGACCCAGGAAAACCTACAAAGGACCAGGGCCTGATGAAAGTACCGAGTAGGAACTGAGGTCAAGCTGACTGATTCTCTTAGGTTGAGGGCTGAGGGACAGGCTGAGAGCCGTCAGTACCATCTGGGTGCATCAGGCCAATTGGTTCTAGACAGCAACCCGCAGGCCATCAAGAGGACACGTGGCTCAGATACTCCCTGGATCAAGAGCCACGGGCTTCAGAGGCCGAAGGGAGTCTGATCAGGGGTCTCCCTTTGTTCTGTCTTCCACCTGGGCCAGGCCTGCCCACCTGCCTGGTCTGTGTGTGCCTTGGATCTTCTGTGTACTGTGATGACATTGACCTAGAGAACATTCCTCCTCTTCCCCGGATGACCACCTATCTGTACGCCCGCTTCAACCGCATCAGCCGCATCAGGACCAGAGACTTCAAAGGGCTGAGTATGTAATGCTCTGAGGAAAAGGGAGAGGGGGCCACCTGGCCACATGAACAGTGACCAGACACTGTTCTCCCCCACCTGTGTGAGTCTTTTTTAAAAATATTTTTTAGTTGATGGACCTTTATTTATTTCTATGTGGTGCTAATGATGGAACCCAGTGCCTCACACATGCTAGGCAAGTGCTCTACCCCTGAGCTTCAGCCCCAGCCCACCTGTGTGTTAGTCTTTCCCTTTTAGTTCTGTCTCTCCAGCTGTCAAAGGGAAAGATCCCCCAAGTCCTTCTAATTCCTTTCTTTGAAGAGTTTAAATGGTAGAAGTGTTCTTCTCATTTTTTTTTTTCCCCACAAACATCTGGGCAGGGAAGGTGGGATGAAGCCAACATTTTCAGTATGTCCCAGCACCTGTAGCTCTGCTGGCCTCTGGACCAGATCATCCTCCACCTACTGATGCTGTTGGCTGCTCTAGGCCTCATGTCCTGCCTAGGATAGGAGACCCGGGCTCCACTTCAGCTTCCATTGCCAATCACCCACAGCCTTTCCAGCCTGGGTGCCCATTGTGAAAAGTGCAGAGGGCTCAATACGCTGTTGGGGACCAGGTGGGATGGGTCCAGAGATTCCCGGGCTAGTTGGTTCTTGCCTTTCAGAGGTTTCTTCCAGTGGGATCCAAGGTGGGCAACCCAGAATCCAGGGAAAGGTATTGACRAATCCGCGGGCTTTTCCAAGGGGTCCTTTAGACTGTAATTTCTGCTGGTTTGGATCTACTGCAGGGAGAGAGCTGGTTAGAATTCCCTTATCTTGAGAGGGATGGAGCAGGATACCCAGGCACATCCAACAGGGTGCAAGGAAAGATCATGTGTCCCAGTATCTTTCTTTGTTCTCTCCCAATGTCCCTCAGCAAAACTGAAAAGGATTGACCTCACCAGCAACTTCATCTCCTCCATTGACAATGACGCCCTCCGCTTGCTGCCTGCCCTGCAGGATCTGATCCTCCCAGAGAACCAGTTGGTGGCTTTGCCCCTGCTGCCCAGTGGCATCGAGTTCCTGGATGTCCGCTTGAATCGGCTCCGGAGCTCGGGGATACAGCCGGAGGCCTTCAGGGTAAGTCAGGGACTCAGACCACCACATGCCGCCTGCCCCCACCCACATCATGCTCGGTGCACCCTCCAGGGTGTTCTGAGGTCTAAAAATCCATGATTATTTTTTATCCTTTTCTGTTTGTACTTTGGGTTGGAAGAAATGGATTCTGACTCAAGGAAAGGGAGTTTCATAGCATGCCATTCCAAGAGCCTCCTCCAGTACTATCAGGCCTCACGAGCCTGTTACTGGGAATGGGGGGCCAAAAACAGATCAATGCTAAGAAACCAGGCTCCCTGCTCCTCTGAGGGGCGTGTGTCTCCTGTCTTGGCTTCTTTCTCTGCTTCGGCTCCATTCACCTCTCTGCACATCTGCATCCTCAGCACACTCCCAGGATCTGCTCCCCAAAACGCCAGACCCCACCCCCAAATGCCTTTGGCTTTGGCTTGCAAAAGTGCTAACTCTAACCCTAAATCCTAAGTATCATTTCCGCCCCCCCMAAAAAAAAACATCAACAAACGATTGTCTATTATCCAGTTCTCAAGAGAGTCAATCCAATGAGTCCTTGGCTGTCTGTCTGTCTAGTTTTGATGGGAAAGGCTAAGTTATAGGATGTGAATATGCCCTCCTGCGATTATTATCAAGAATACAGTAACAATAAATATTGTTAAGGATGTGGGGGGAAAGGTATATTCATACATTGATGGTGGAACTGTAAACTGGTGCAACCCTTCTGGAAAGCAGTATGGAGATTTCTTAGAAAACTTGGAATGCAACCACCATTTGACCCAGTTATTCCACTCCTTGGCATATACCCAAAGGACTTAAAATCAACATACTACAGTGATGCAGCCACATCAATGTTTGTAGCAGCTGAATTTACAATAGCCAAGCTATGAAACCAACGTAGGTGTCCTTCAACAGATGAATGAATAAATAAAATGGAATATTACACAATAATATAATAACATTCCAAAAATGGAATATTACACACAATGGAATATTACTCAGCCATAAAGAAGAATGAAAATTATGGCATTTTCTGATAAATGGTTGGAACTGGAGAATATCATGCTAAATGAAATAAGCCAGTCCCCCAAATACCAAAAGCTTAATGTTCTCTGATATGTGGATTCTGACCCACAACAAGGGAGGGTGGGGAGGAGAAGAATAGAAGTTCATTGGATCAGACAAAAGGGAATGAAGGGAAGGGGGGCATAGGAATAGGAAAGATAGTAGAATGAATCAGATATAACTGTCCTGTGCTCATATATGAAGGTATGACCAGTGTAACTCCACACCATGCACAACCACAAGAATGRGAAGTTATATTCCATGTATGTATAACATGTCAAAATATACTCTAGTATCTAAAAACAACAAATAAAAAAACACATGTCCCCTTGGGACAGGGTTAGGAAGAACAGAGTGTGCACTTCCGCTGAAGAAGTGTGGACAAGGCTGACCCRTCCAGGCATGCTGGCTGGACTTTAGGAATGGCCTTCAAAAGCCCATTACTCACTTGCCAGCTGTGTCTTCTTCATTTGGACTCACTTTCAGCCTCTGTCTGTCTCTCTCAAGTACAGTCATCAACACCGGGTCACATATACGATGGTGAACTTCTAAGATTGTCTCACCTAGTGACGCTGTAGCCTTTTTAGTTCATGTAAGTACGCTCTGTGATGTTCGTACAACGGCAGAATCACCTGATGACACATGTCCCTGTCGTTCAGCAATCGTGACTATGGTGGGCTCTTTTGGCAAACTGTTTAGAAGCGTCAAATATCCAGGCACGGTGGTGCTCACCTGTAATTCCAGCAACTCGGGAGGCTGAGATGGGGGGAGCRCAAGTTTGAGACTAACCTAAGTAACTTAGTTAGATCCTGTCTTGAAATATAAAATACAAAGTGCTGGAGAGGTAGCTCAGAGGTAGAGAAGCTTGGGTTCAACCTCAGTACAAGGAGGAGAAGAAGAAGAAGAAGGAAGGAAGGGTGGGAGGGAGGAAGGAAGGAAGGAAGGAAGAGAGGGAGGGANGACTAACCTAAGTAACTTAGTTAGATCCTGTCTTGAAATATAAAATACAAAGTGCTGGAGAGGTAGCTCAGAGGTAGAGAAGCTTGGGTTCAACCCTCAGTACAAGGAGAAGGAGAAGAAGAAGAAGGAAGGAAGGGAGGGAGGGAGGAAGGAAGGAAGGAAGGAAGAGAGGGAGGGAGGGAGAGAGGGAGGAAAAGAAGAAGAGGAGGAGGAAGAGGAAGAGAAGGAGAAGAAAGGAAAGGAGGAGGAGGAGGAGGAAGAGGAGGAGGAGGAAGAGGAGGAGGAAGGATGAGCAGAAATCAAATAAGGCAGCTGCCATTTTGAAACCGGGTGAAGGCACAGACTTTCCTGTTCTCTCCCCTCTCCCAAACACCTTCCGCAGTGCTACTAGCCCTCCTGCCGTGGAAACCAGAACCCTCCCCTGGGATGTCCTCAGGCCCCAGTCTTCCCATCTCAAAGTGAAGAGCTGGGGTCTGGTGATCACAGAGCMCCCTGGACTTGATGGTCCAAGTCCAGCCCTGAGAAACAGCCTGACTGTCTCCGTCTTAGGAGGACTTCTTTGCCTTCAGGGCTGTTCCTTTGTCCAGGGGAAGGCAGGGGCTTTGGAACCGGAGGGACCTGGGCTCATGGGGGAGTCACCTCACCTCTCTGATCTTGTTTCCTCATCTGCAGATTGAGAGTAATGACACCTACGTGCCCCAATGGCCGCAGGATTTAGTAAAACAGCACTTACACAGAGCCCGGGCAGATGACATAGATAGTAGCTGCTCCATGAACACTAGCTATTATTCTTCCTTGCTCTCTGAGCCCCCAAAGGCTTATCTCATCCCAAATCCTTCTCTGACTCGCCTGCCTGATTGTGAAGGTGCTCTGCGCTCACACACCCTTGGTCTGGGTGTGCCTTGGATTTTCATTCTCTGACATCTCCCTAGCAAGCTCCACACATCTGCACTGGGGGAAAACATCCCGTCTGATGGCAGAGAAGTAGAGGCTGAGCTGAAATGTCCCCTGGTCCTTCCTCACCTCTACCTTATCCCTGTCCATCCCCTGCTCCCCATAGCTGTCCCTAACAGCCCCTGCCATGCCTCTAGCTGCTTGCACCTCAAAAACAGCAGCACTGGATAGGTAGAGGTAGTGTAGTGTGCGTAAACTCCTTAAAGGTTCTAGCTCCCCCTCCCACCACCAAAGAGCCCTCTACAGAGCACTGCACACAGCAGTAAACCCTGAGTGAATGGAAGGGGGTCACCTGACCCTGGCCACCCCAGGAACCTCCTCTCTGCYAGAGCCCTATGGGCCCACTAGCCTCCCATGCTCTCTGTGTCCCTGCAGGCACTGGAGAAGCTGCAGTTTCTCTACCTGGCAGACAACCAGCTGGACTCCATCCCCTGGCCTTTGCCTCTGAGCCTGCGCTCACTCCACCTGCAGGTGAGGAGCCTCAGCCACAGGGAGGCTGCAGYCAGGGCRGAGGGTGGCCACAGCCAGTGCAGAGGGTGGACAGCAGATAACAGGGTGGAGAGCCCCGTAAGGCCTGGGCATCAGAGGTGTGTGGGAGACATGGTCTCGTCTAGATGGTGGTCCATGGCTCCAGTTTGATTTTCTCTGTCTCTTCCTTTGAAAACACTCCCTCTCCTCTACCTCTTCATCTCGTCTCATCCACCTGCTTTTCCTCCTCCCTTTTCCTACCTCCTGTTTCTCTTCTTCTCTTCCCATCACTGCCTCCTTCCTTCCTTCTCCCTCYCATCCTTCACCCCTCTTAATCTCTCCCACCTCTCTCCCTGCTTGATACTCTCTTCTCACCCCTCATTGTGTGGTCTGGGCTCTGGTGCCTCGGTTTCCCCAAGTGCACAGGAAGGGCAGGGCTGATGGGGGGGGCTGGTGGCACCTTGGGTGCTGCCTGGGGCCAGAGCGTCTGGGAGGGTGCTCAGCGGCTGCGCGTTCTTTCCAGAATAACATGATAGAGACCATGCAGACAGACGCCTTCTGTGACCCTGTGGAGCACAGACACACCCGCAGGCCACTGGAAGACATTCGGCTGGACGGGAACCCCATCAACCTGAGCCTGTTCCCCAGCGCCTACTTCTGCCTGCCTCGGCTCCCCATAGGCCGCTTCACCTAGTCTGTCCCTCCCTCTCTTCCAAGTAGGAGCCCTTGGAGGCCCCCAAGGCCACATAGAAGATCACCTGTCTAAACAGGGGTCTTTAGCCCAAGCATTAGAGAGCCTCATGCTCCAGTTGCAAAAATCACCACCTTACTCCCCACCCCACCCCCTGCGCGCACGCACGCGCGCACACACACACACACTCACACACACATCAGTGTCCTTCAGTAGCCAAATTTGCATTTCTCCCTCCTCTTTCTTTAACACCTTATGGCTGCTGGCTCAGAGAACTGCAGTGTCTGCACAGAGATCTTCTCCATGTTCCCCATCCCTCCCATCCATACTGAATGCCAGGAAACCCATGAAAGAGGAGGAGGAGACAGAGGAGTTCAGCGAAATGCAGCAGAGGATGGAGGGGGAAGAAGAGAGAGGGGGAAGCAGTCTTGTGCTGGAACCACTCACTAACAAGGAGGCTTGCAAGATTGAATTTTCCAGAATTTTGCAAACCAGTTATTAAACACAGTCATTATGAAAAATTATATTCTATAACCTCACAATTAAACATATCACATCAAAATACATAAATGTAGTAAATAGTCAAAACTCACTGCTTCTCAATTGTTTTACTATTAATCACACTTCTGAAGTTGTTTGTGTGAGATATCGGTGTGGTGGAGATTTCATACAGTGAGGCACTACTGGGCATCTTCTCCCAATTCCTTGTTTGGTGACATCGTGTTCGATACTTGATGTTGGCCATAGTAAAAGATTTTTAAAATGCTACAGATTGGGGGGTTTTGTTGTTGTTGTTGTTGTTGTTTACTTATTTATTTATTTTTTAAGAGAGTTAGTTGCTCAAGCTTTCCAGAACATCAAAGAAAAGAAAAAATAAAGCCGGTGGCGCATGCCCGCAATCCCAGCAGCTCAGGAGGCTGAGGCAGGAGAATTGTGAGTTCGAAGCCAGCCTCAGCAATTTAGCAAGGTCCTAAGCAACTCATCAAGACCCTGTCTCTAAATTTAAAAAAAAAAATAAAAAAGGGCTGGGGATGTGGCTCAGTGGTTAAGCACCTTGGGGTCCAATTTCCTGTACCAGAGAGAGAGAGAGAGAGAGAAATAGCTATTTAAACTATCCATTCCTTACCCCTACACTGCCCTACTTGGGGTGAGTAGGATTTCTGTGGAATGTTCCTTAATATTTTTTAGTACTGGGGATTGAACCCAGAGGTTCTTTAGCACTGAGTTACATTCCCCATCCCTTTTTATATTTTATTTTGTGATAGGGTTCTGCTAAATTGCCTAGGCTAGCCTCAAATTTGTGATCCTCTTGCCTTAGCCTCCCAAGTCTCTGGGAACCTTCCTTAATATCTTGGGACCTGCTTAAATTTGGAGGGAGCCAATCAGAAGATGGAGAGCTGATCCAACTCTTTACCTGGACACCCTCTTGATAGCGCTGACCTTTTCCCAGCCTCACCTGCCAGTCTGAGCTTGGCACAACTCGCTGGTTCCTGGCCACGGTTGTTGCCATCCTTCCCAACCTCCTGCATGTTCCACCACCAGAGGGCAGCCTTGTGCAGAGATAAATAAATAAACAGAGTGATTACTCACCTGCAGCCTTTTGGAGGCTGGGTGGAGCCTGCTGTGTTAGGAGGCTGGGAAGAAGGGAGTCATTGTTTCTTGAATAATAATTCGGAATGGAGGTCCCCCCTTTCCCTGCTTCTCACAAGGAGCCACTGGGCAGGGAGGGTGTGATGGATGGTGTTGGGCATCAGGTTTTGGCTGAGGCATAGGGCAGGCATGGTGCAGGCAGTACCTTTACTCACTGGGCAAGGGTTTTATGGAGCACCTACCTGCTGGATGCCAGACACTATTACATGCTGGTGACAAGATGGTGTGCAACAGAGACATGCTCTTTTTCCTCACAGAACTTAGACTCTAGCACAGAAGACAGGTGTTGAACAAATAATCCCACAACCAGCCACACTGTTCAACTCCGGGTCAGTGCTATAAAGGGAAGCTTGCAAGAAGGGGACCAAGTCTAAGGGTCTGGAAGACCTCCTGGCACAATTGACATTAAAGCTAAAGCAAAGATCAAGTAGGAGTTAGCCAAGCCATGGGTTGCCAAGGCAACCACTCAAGGTCCCAGGTGGTCCTTGAGTCTGGAGGGACAGGTGTTTCTTGTGGCCCACATGGAAAAGAACCGCATTTATCTACCTCCCCCACCCTTGACTCGCACCTCACCAAGCACTTTGGATCCTCCCAACAACCCTATAAGAAGTCAGGGATTTATTATTCACATTCTTCAGATGAAGAAATTGACAACTAGAAAAGATAAATCACTTCCTGTCAGTGGGAAGTCTTGGAAGTGGTAGGAGATGTTCTTATGCCTTGGCTGAGGGGCATGCCTTCTCTCCTGGAGACTGGAAGGTACTAGCACACCTCACCCCATGGGAGGACTAGGCAGGCCTTTTAGATTGTGAGCTCTCGCTGGCTCCCAAGTGTGTGCCTGTAGAATCTGTGTGTGTCTAGCTTTCTCAGTCTCTCTCTCTCTCTCTCTCTCTCTCTCTCTCTCTCTCTCTCGTCCCCTAGTCCTATTCTCTTCCAGTCCCCTAGTCCTATTCTCTTCCAAGCCCCATATCTCTTTCACATCCTGCTCTTTTGGATTATGAAAAAGGCCTAAGTCAGAACAGCTGAGGGCCTCAAGATTCTAAACTGAAAGAAACCCTCCATTGAGATTTTCCAGAACTGGGGCTCCTGGGTGCGAGAAGCTGCGTGATGCCCGGATGCCCATGGTGAATCTGAACATACAGAAAGTCATCAGCTCCTGCTCTGCTGTAAGGGAAGGGGACGAGCAATTCCAGGGCTGGTGGAGTTTGCCCGGCACTGCAGTGAAAACTCTGTGCACCTTGCTTCATTTATCCCGAGGAGGACCCTGGACAGCAGGGTGCTTGTCTCCCTGCTGCAGAAGAGGAAACTGCTTGTGAAAGGAAGCAGCCACATTCAAACAGCAAAGAAGCAGCAAGGCCGAAACTCAAACCCAGGTCCATCTGTCAGGTGTCCAAAGTCCTGCTCTTACACCATACCCTGGGGTGGGCGCTGGGTTCAAGTGCGAGTCAAGAAGGCAGCTGCCAGTGTGTCTTCCTGGGCCCTCTGTGCTCTGGGGAGGGCTTCCCCAAGGCCGTGCCTCTGCAGCTGTCCCCTGACGAATCCCCCATTTTTGGCTAGGAAGCTCAAGGAACAGAAAGCATGCCCTTGTTGGCTGTCTCCCTGAAGAAATTCTACACAGAGCATCTGTCCCTCACCCTGGGGAAGGGAGGGGACCAGCTCGCTCCCAGCAGCTGTTACATCTTGGTCTGATGTTAAGGAGGAAGGCTCATATTCCACGGGATGGAGGGAGGGTTGGGCCACAGCAAGGCCGTGGGGAGCCCCTCCCTGTCCAGGGGCATGGGCAGAATGGCGGGGAGGGTGGGGCCGGCCACACTGGGAGAAAATCAGAATGGAGCTGAGGAGGGGACCGCAGGGTCCTGTCAGCCCGGCACACTCCAGCAAGCAGTGGGTTTGTTGAGGATCTCCCTCTTCCAAGAACCAGACTTGCCCAACCTCGTTAATCCAGGTCCCCAGTTTCTCCGCAGCAGAGGGAGAGTAAGTCTGCAATGACGCCCTCGCACCTGCCCGCCCTCAACTCCACAGTCCTCGGTCACCCTGAAGCTCCCAGAGCAAGGCCCAGGGCTGGGGGGGAAATGGAGGGCGGAAGGGCTGCTGGAGGGGTTGGAGCTCAGAGCTTTCCTCGCCCTGACCTCGCCTGGACTTCCTTCCTGCTTCCTTTTCCCTGAGGGCTCCTCCCAGAGAACAGTCATCTCTTTCTCCTGTGCGGCGAATTTGCACTTTAAGGAAGCTCCTTTACATATGGGATCCGATTCCATAGTCCTAACTCTGGGAGGGAGGAATTATCATCCCTACTACACGGATAGGAAATGGGAGGCTAAGAGAGAGATGACCAACAACCCATGACATGAAAACCAGGTGGGTGGGGTTGGTCACTTCTGGGGCATTCCTACCAGAGAAAAGGGAAACCCCATCTCCAGCACCCGGAGCCGTGGATTCGCATCCCCTTAAGCACATTTTCTTGTGTTTGTTTTTGTGTGGATGAGACAGTGTCTGGCGTGACCCCAGGGCCTAGCGCATGCTAGGCAAGCCCTCCACCTCTCCAGCACCCGCCTGGAAGCACTTTGAAAAGCAAGCACTGAGAAAGGCATCCCCCAGGCTGGGAAAGCCTGATTTGGTTGACCCCAGCTGGATCGGGGCCTGCATCCTCAGGGATCTCAGCCTGGGAAAACCCCCGGGCTCAAGGACACACTACCCCATCTCTCCTCCCCTCACATGCTTTTGTCTGTGGACTTCTGACTTTGTCCAGGAGGGAGGCAGACAGACATGAGGCAACCAGTCGGGCTCTGCCAGTCTAGATCCTCCTTCCTCCAGCCTACCCGCCACCCCACCCAGCTCCACCGCCAGACACCAGCTCAGTGAAGCCTCTCTCTCTCTCAAGGTTGTCTCTGGGCTGGCCAGAAGATTCAGACTCCAGCAGCTCAAGAGCTTCCCTCCTGGCTTGGATGAGAATCTCTGTGAAGCAGGAAGGTGCCTGTTCACTTCACCATGTCTCCTTGTCCCCACCCCCAGCCCTCCAGGGTGACAAAGCATCAGAGGCCTCTCCTTCCCGCCTCACTGCAATGAGGCCACTCTAGCCCTTCCAGACATGTGGCCCTGGGCAGGAGTGTGCACCCCTCCTGAACATGCACCCCCTGCACGCCTCGCCCTCCTATGCCCCAGACACTGGAGCAAATGGCTTTTCTGCTGCTCCCATGCCACTGGTCCCACTCAGCCTTCAGACTCAGGAGGGAGTGGAAGTGCTTTACGCTGTGGCCAYCTGCAAAGGGACTGTGAGCAAGGGAGTGAGCACTGGAATGAGAGTTCAGACTCCTGAGTTTGACCACCTGGGGCTCTGCCTGCCCATGGGACATGTG